GCTTAATTAAAATGTAAAATCTACACAAACTAGCTGTCCTAGGTTCAAAAGAGTTTATATCGACAGGATATATTTTATGAATGCCGAGATTACTGTATGAAATATATCTCAAAGTTTTGTTAAACATTAGATAAACTTTCCCGTAGGTGTTTTGAGCAGAAGAAAAGGGAGGAAGCAGTAAGGTGATCAGAAGAATTGAATTAAAAATCGTGAAAAAAAGCAATCAGAATTACGAAGTGGGTAAAAATTAAATCTGCCGCTAAAAAGAACATCTATTAGACACTAAGATAGACCTTTTTTAAAGAGCTATGCCCGTTAAGATTAAAATCTATAGTTGATTATTATGGGACAAGACTAAGCGAAATTCAGTGGGATCATCTCATTGTGAGGAAAACTCAACTATCAGTTCTTAGATCACCTTAGGCAGCCTGAAGCGACTATAATATTGCTCAAGAATTAAAGATAATATCGAAAGCCACTTGTGTCAAAATTAAGCAGCGTCGTCGATTTCAGTGATAAACATATGTTTGCTTGATCGAAAATCCCAAAATAAAAATGTGAGCTGAGAGGCCTGGCTTGCCTTGAATGTCTCTTCTTCACTGTGATACATCGGCATCTGTGGCCTTGTAGTGCAGCGGTAACGTCGCCAGGATACTCACGACCCAGTATCGAATCTCACTGGGGGTGCTGATGAGACATAAGCGAAGTCGAAACTGCAGTCCACCCTGGATGAGATAAGTTTTGGGAGGCAATACTAAGTGAAATTCAATGGCATCGTGAGGCCTGAACATCACAGTGTTGGAAAAACTCAACCATCAGTCCTTAAATCATCTAAAGCGACCTAGGGTGACTATTTTTTTATTTAATATTCGACATATCTCTAACTGCATTTGTTAATGGAAGCTGAAGTGAGTGATCTGGTTTAGGTTTGCCACTTATTATTGTCTTTCTAATGAGAGGCCAAGTCAAAGTGGATAGTGGTAATAGTAGGGCATGGTAATAACAGTACGTCTGGTAGATGTTTCAAACTACATAATTCAACATAATCAGGGTATGTAAGGCCTGAATATAAGGAATAAATCCCTAATAATGTTGTCCAAATGATCCGCCCATCATACTAGTCTATAAAAATGCAAATAAATCCAGATGATTATCAGGTAAATACAAAAAGAGGCACAAATCTTCCTGAAAAAAAGGCTGCGAAATAAATATAAAAGCTTGACACTTACCTTGAAAAGCGCCATGAAGAAAGCGGAAGAATAAAAAGAGTGTAAACACGACCGACCGGTCGAATGAAATACTGGGTAGGCCGATGAACAACACTGTAGTAAAGGACCAAAGACACGAAGAAATGAGGATGACACGCTCGCCACCTAGCATATCAGAAAGATAGCCACTCAGAAATTGAGTGAAAAGATAGCCCCAGAAGAAGACACCCATCACCAAACCCTGAAGAAATGAGATTAAGGAAGTGGATGTGATAAATATGGGAAAAACGCAATGTAAACTTTCTAAGAAGGATTATACATAAATGCAACCACAGTTTATGATAAGTGCAAGGATAATACAGGAAAATAAATGAGGTAAACCTCGATTTACGAATTTCCTG